GGCATAAACACAGATACAATGGAACAAAATAACCCAGAAATAAACCCATGCATATACGATCTACTAATTTTCTACAGAGGAACTAAGAATACACAATGCGAGAAATGAAAGTCTCTTCAATAAATGGCTGGGAAAACTGGATACTCACATGCAAAATATGAAACTGAAACTTTCTCTGGCACCATACACAAAAGTTAACTCAAAATGGGCCAAAAACTTAAATGTAAGATCTGAAATTGTAGAACTGTAAAAACTGTAAAACTTTAAAACTGCATACACACACACCACGCACACACAGAGGAATATTATTCAGTTTTACAAAAGAAGGAAATCCTGCCATTTGCAAATACATGGATGAATCCAGAGGACATTACGTTAAGTGAAATAAGCCAGACACAGAAAAACAAATACTGCATGACCTCACTTATATGTGGAGTCTAAAAAAGATGAACTCATAGAAACAAAGAGAACAGTGATTTCCAGGGGCTGGGGGTTGAGGAAAATGAGGTGATGTTGGCCAGAGGGTACAAATGTTCAGTCATAAGATGATAAGTTCTGGATATCTAATNGAAATAATTTGTTGTTTTTGCCATACTTCTGGCCATAGAAAGCCTTCATTTCAATAAAGCATGACTATAAGATTTTAATATTCTGTGCTACCAAGCTTCCTAACCAGGCCATTATTTCTCCAGGTGCCATCAAACATAAAAGTTAATGTCAGCCTCAGACACTTAATTTTGTGGCCTTGTGATTGTTTTTGTAACTTCTCATGCATTGTTTACGGTTTACAAACTTCCCTCATTCCAGTTATATGTGGATCAGTTAGCCCTTGTTGCTATAAATGAGAAATATCTTACATGTGCTTTGGGAAAATAAAGGTGGGGCTTGTGATTATTCTTTGTGGGTCTTCCATTAACTGATGAGTGGCAAGGCAAGAGAAAAAATCTGTACACATAATTAATACATAATTAGCAGTTCAAGGGCAGAGGTGTGTGAAAGGCAGAGTCTGAGGAACTGGATCCCTAGGGAGGAAAAACCAAAAATAAAACAATCAGGCACAGGCTTGGTGGCCATGTGCAGACTGCACAAGCCAACCTGAGTTGTGAGTTTCAGGAGGCCAGCAGGTAAAATCTGAGCAATATGATGGAAAAGGAGGACCAGGAAGTGGACAGCAATGAATACAGAGCCAAGGATCTCCTGGAGCAAGTTCGGGTGCAGCCAAGGAGCTGTGCTGCCATCAGAGGCTGGACAGAGAACAAAGCTGGCCTGGAGGTGAGCTAAGAAGGAACCTGAACTCAAGAGAGAAAGAAAAAAAGAGGGAGAAAGAAAAAGTAATCTAGCTGCCATGTCAAGTTGTCAGGGTGTGCCCTGTGCGAATAGCTGGCAGAGATGGGTGGGTTGCAACTGGTCCACGTGGAGGGGCCCCTTATTTTAATTTGCACAAACTCTGCACATAGAGAGACCGGCAGCAGCTCAGGAAGCAATGCTGGGTCAAGCTGGACTCTGCCTAAGCCCTGCATTTCCTTTTCACCTCCTTTTTTGTGAGTTCTGAAAAGCAATTCCTAAGTGGCTCCTCCATTGGAACCAGCGAGCTGAGGGGCATGAGTTAGATGCTGCTGTTCTGGGGTGGCTGAGGTCCTGAGGTCCTGAGGTCCCAGATGAAAGAGGAAAATCTCCTTTAATTCCTCGGTAGGTGGCAGAAGACAAGCCTCATGGTGGATATGGGGACCTACCTATATAAGGCATCTCTGGCTCAGAGACAACCATGTAAAAATGAGAAACCCATCACTTGAGTTTATCATTCCAAACTCAACTTAAATGTTCGGCAAAGAAAAGATCTCAAGCCAGGTAACCAATTCCTGTGTCTTGTTTTTGTTGTTACTGTTGTTAAATACAATTTCAATTTTCACGTAACTTTTTAAGTTTATCAAAAGAAAGAGTGTGAATTTTGTAATTCAGTATGGTAAAGCAAATTGCAATGCATCTGACTACTAAAGTCTATGCCTGGTTTTAGCAGTGAATAAAATTCACTAAGGTACTTTACAGAATTATTCTCTATAATGAAAAATTGCTCTGTTCTAAAACAAAAGCAGTAAAATAGAAAATGAGCAAAGAGTGAGTTTTTTAAATCTAATTTTTTAGACTGATGAAATTTTAGATAGAGCAAAGAGTAAATTTTGAAGTCACATGTAGTTTTAACTTATACAGTATTTCTATTTTGCAAACTTCAGCCTGTTTGCATATGTTGTACACACACACACAAATATAACCAGAACACCTCCCTCCCTTTTCTTTATATATAGAATTTGATTCTTGGATTGTGTTGACCTTCCCCTGCGTTTTACAGTTTGTGGGCAAAGCAACTTGGAGCTCTGGCTTCTGAGCAAGAGAGTACTGCTCAGAAACAAGAAGCCTTTAAATACTCCAAGGTGGCAGGAACAGTTTGTACACAGGAGAAACTGAGGAGGGGATCTGGGCAGCGTGGACAGGTAGAGACATCTCTTAATTTCTGTGAATCGATCTTCCACAAGACAGGATTCTTTCTGCTCCCATCCCAGTTCTGAGTTGCCAGAAGAGGTGAGGCCAATGCAGGCTGAGCTCTGGACCAGGCCAGAGAGGGTGAATAAAGGCACTTGCATGAACAATGGTAAGTTGTGTTACCTTACATGCTGCTGCTTATCTGTGTATCCTCTCCTCCACTTAGGTGAGGCGGAGGTGGGGTGGGGTGGAGCAGAAAATGGGACCCAGAGTTATAGCACATAGGAAACAAATGAAAGCAAGGGCTTTAGAAAAAAGCAAATGCAACAGTATACTGTGATATTATAAGTAATTTATAAGTAAAGAAATATACTGGTCTTCATCCCTGGTTCATGACCCAGAGCTCCTAATCCCTTGGAATTTCCTGGGTGAAGAAAAAAGCAAATGCAACAGTATACTGTGATATTATAAGTAATTTATAAGTAAAGAAATATATTGGTCTTCATCCCTGGTTCATGACCCAGAGCTCCTAATCCCTTGGAATTTCCTGGGTGACAGGAGTGTCTTTTGTTCTAATGAGGCGACTCTTGGTGGGCTTCTGGATGGGGCTGGTCACCAGAGACCAAGCCATGGTCATGGGGCCCCAGAGCTTTCAGACCCACCCCTGGGGAAGGTGGGAGGGGCTAGGGATTGAGTTGATAACCAATCATGCTGAACCATGGGGTTTGGAGAGCTTCCGGTTGCTGAACACGCGGAGGTGCTGGGAAGGTGTTGAGTCCAGAGAAGGCATAGAAGCTCCTCACTCCTTCCCTCATACCTTGCCCAATGTACCACTTCATCTGGCCGTTCATCTGTATCCTTTGTATTATCTTTTGTAATAAGCTGGTCAACATAAGTTAAGTGTTTCCCTGTGTGCTGTGAGCCATCCTAGCAAATGATCAAACCAAGAAGGGGGATCGTGGGAAGCCCCAACTTAAAGCCGGTTGGTCAGAAGTTCTGGAGGCCTGGACTTGCAATTGGCATCTGCAGTGGGGGGCAGTCATGTGGGACTAAACCCAGGTAGCTCGTGTCAGAATTGAGTTGAATTATAGGACACCCAGCAATTAAAGAATTGGTGGGTGGAAAAAACACCCCCACCCATTTTGGTGATTAGAAGTGCTGTGAGAGTACACTAGTGGAAAACTTTTTCCCCTTATTATATTCAAACACCTAAAGGAACATATGACACAGTCTGTCTTATACAGACTTCCATATGGGGGAAAAACTCCTGGACACTGAAAGGGAGAAACACGATGATGAAGTGTTGTTCTCAGGCCAGTACTTAGAAGACAGAAGAGATCAGTAAGGAGGCTAAATAAAAACAAGGTGACCGCCAGGCTGGTGCAAGGCTGGCCTCTTACCATAGTGCGGGATGATGGCCCAGGCCATGGCCGAGGCGTAGATGCCACCAATCATCCAGAACATGCAGAGCCAGCTCAGATGCTCACCCCGCTTCTCCCGGGCCAGTACTTCAGCAAAGTAGGAGAACACGGTGGGAATGGCTCCTCCGATCCTGCCAAGAGGTACAGAGAGTACATGAACCCTGGGCCAGGACAGCTAACTAGATGCAAAGGGCAGAGCCAAAGCAAGCTCTAACAACACATGCTATATCCCCGGCATATCAAGGAATGTACATTTTCTATTAAAATGATAAAATTATAGTCTCCATGTTTCATATAGGCTAATTATCACCAA